AGTAAGGGGCAGAGGCTGAATTTGAACCCAAGCAGCCTGAATAAGAGCTCTACAAACTAGAGCCCTGGTCCAAATCTGGCCCTCTGCCTGTTTTCATAAATAAAGTTTTACTGAAACAACAGCCACACCCATCCATCTATGTACTGTCCATGGCTGCTTTCATGCTACAGCAGCAGAGTGAACTAGTGATGACAGACATCGTATAGCCTCCAAAAATATTTACAATCTGGGCCTTGATAGAGAAACTTTGTCACCTCTTGACCCAAACCACTGTGCTACACTCCTCTCTAATGATTCTCTAATAATAAAGGAAGGAAAGAAACTGTGGCCATTGAGAGACACACAGCCATCCCATTTCCAATGGTGACGAATTGGTTAGCGTGTCCACACCCATTTCCCCATGGTCATTCCTTCCTCTGTGACATGGAATCTTAGAGTTTTAGTCCTGGAAGAGGCTTTGAGAGCTTCAATCTGACTGTCTCCCATTACAGAGGAGACTCTCTGAGACTCAGAGAGGTTAATGATTTATCCAGTGTCCCAAAGCTAGGACAAGGCAAGTCCTCTGGCTCCTTGGGAGGTCCCCATTCCCTTGGCTTACTTCTGAAGAATTTGAAAATGCTTGCTGTTGAAGGGTTGGCTCAGCCCTGCAGTACCCACTGCTCCCCCTGCCAGCAGTCCTGGCTGGTGTGAATGAACTCTCTTCCAACACAAAAGTTCTCATGGGACTGTGTACCTGAGGCTCAACCTCTCTAAGTAATTTCTGCTGCCAATAGCCAAGGCGTGGGGAATTTCCCCTTCAGAGCTCACTTGCCTGCTTTCCTCAAAGAATCATTACAACACAGCACCCAGGCAGCTGTTCATTAAAGACACCAAACCATGATGCCATGAGGGAATCCTGGTCCACCAACCAGGCCACTATTACATAAGGTTTCATTTTACTCATAAGGTTTCACGTTACTCAGCTAGCTTGGCTTACCTCACATGTGACTCAGGCTTCTGGGGGAACCTCCCTGCCCAGCTCTCTTCATAAGCTGACTCCTCTTGTAATCCAGCCCTGGGGTCCTTGCTCCTCCTCCTGATGGTTCCTCACTTCTATCCCCAGGCCAAGCACAGACTATTTCTCTCTCTCTCTTGCCCTCATTAATGTTTTAGGAATGAGGTCTTTTTCCATAGCTGCAGGATCTCCACCTGCTACAGGTCACTATCACTCCTTTCAAAGTACCCAAAGCCCCCAGGAATGCCCTCAACTGGCCAGTGCTCTTTCCAATCTCCACCTGTGTTTCTCTTGGGGAACACCCAGGCCCTCATGGCCTCAGGTGTATCAATCCAAGGCCAGTAAAATGCTCTCTTCCTAAAAATCCCCTGGGACTATCTTCCTGAAGCTTCTCTGGTTGCTCACACCTCCTACAGCACAAAGCAACAGGGATAAAGGCAGATGAAGGAGGCAAAGTGTCCTCCTGGAGGCTGAGAAAGATGTCAGCGCCAAGAGCCTGTGCTTCTGTGATGTTCTCCTCGGGCCAGCATGTCTGAGAACTGACATTCTGGTTACAAACTTACAGACCAATAATGGGCTTAAGCTGACTTTGTATTTCAAGCCAAAGGGAAATTTAGAAGCATGAGTTTGATGCAGTTTGAACTGTTTCTCTGTTCTGGAGAGAAAGAATTCTGATTTGCATCTTCTTGCCTGCCATGTTGTCCTTCAACTCCTTTTGTGTGTATTGCAATCATTTTAAAACCATTTTAAATTTTAAGACAGAAATCATCATGCTTATTTTTCTTCTAAACTAGCAGTTTTTTTTAATTTTGTAAGTCAGCAGAACCTTGCCCTCCAACGAAATCGTAGCAAATTCCACTCATATAAACTAAATAAAAGTCAGGTTGCTGGGAAGGAAGTCAAGGGCAGCCCCTGAGGCGTTTCTGCAGCGCCTGAGGGTTGTAGTGAACATATATTTAAAGATCACTACCTTAGAATATAACCATACTTCACTGAGTCTAAAACACCAACTATTGTAAGACATACCACGAAGCATGAAGAAAGAAAAAACATTGCCACTTAAAGCATGGTGTGCCACAGATTGTCAGACACAGCCAATCTCAGAGATGTTAAAATGTGGTCCATGTGGAGCTGGAATTGATGATTTACAGTAGTATAAATAAATTACACATAAATTGTGTTCACTCATTCACACAGTTAATTGAAAGTTAAATTTAAGTGAAGTGGCAGAATACCTACTTAGTAAATAAATGCTAGCTTCCTTTCACTGGGCACCAGACCAACACCAGCTGGGGAATTGCCCGGGCACTGCTAAGCTTCCTTCCATTTCTTAATGTTCCCATTTACTGATCACCTGCCAAGCACAGTGCTGAGTGCTATACATGCATAATCTCATTTAATCCTGACAAGAACCCCCAAAGTAGGTATTATTCTCCTGTTTTATAGAAGGAGAAACTGAGGCTCGGGGAAGTTCAGTGACTTACCCAAAGTCATACAGCTAGTAAATGCAACAGGTCAGATAGGCTGACTTCAAAGTCCACGCTCATTCTAGAATTTTCCAGAGTTCGAGCCTTTTTCAGAGTCGAGAGGGACTTGGAGGTCACTGCTTCTCCATTCAAGAATCCCCCTCAACAGCATCCCTACTAGTGGTGTTCTCAGTGAATCTGACCAGATGGGTCAGGGTCTGCCCAAACCAGTGGTTAGCAAGCCTGCCTGATCATCAAAAGCATCTGGGAAGCTTTTCATTCAATGCAGATTCTTGGGGCCCTCTTCCAAGGTTTTTTAATCTAGTGGGTCTGGCGTGGGGCCCAGGAATCTGTACTTTTAATAAGCACATCCAGGTGATTCTGATACGTGGGCAGGTTTACAATTAATGAAATCTCGTGATTCCTTAGATGGAAACTAGTTGGAGGAAGAAAAGTCGAATTTCAGCTTCATCAAGGAAGTGGTGACTTCTGCGCAAAAGAGGAGTGATGCCATGCTTCTCTGTTGGTTGGAATAATCCAGGTCTGAGACATGAATAAGCAAAGCAGCACCCATGGGAAACCCCACATGAACCACTGAACCTTACCTGTTTGGGTGGGGCTAATTCCTCGCAACCAACTCTCAGTCCAGACCCAACCCCAGGTGCCATCAGGAAGAAAGACGTTAACACTGGTTAAGACATTAACACTGGTTCCCAGACCTAGCCCAAAATGTGTCTCCTATGGGTGGTTCTGTCCTATGCCTCTGCCTTCTCATTGGCATTGGCTTCTCCAAGACCCAGCAATTCGAAGCTAAGGCCTTGTCCCCGATGAATCCCCGATGAATCAGGAATTTTACATGAAGAGATATGAGTTTCCTGTTATAGTTGGGGAGGGGTGAGAAAGAGGTCTGGATGCAAACTGAGGCTGGATGAGCACTTAGCAGGCTTACTATAGTGGGTACTGAAGCATTAGATGGGGTGAGGGTGCGCTGTTTTCCAAATAAAGTAAACTTCAAGGTCCTTTCAGTTTTCTAATTCAGTAAACCTCAAGTCTACTGAGATTTCATGTCAGCTTTGGCTCTGAAATCTGTAGAGCAGCACTATCCAATAGAACTTCCTAAAGTGATGGAAATGTTCCAGATCCACAGTGTCTAATGTGGAGCCACTACCCATATGGAGCTATTAAGCACTTGAAAAATGGCTAGTGTGACTGAGGAAAGGAATTATTTTTTTATCTTATTTCAATTTTAATTTAAATAGCCAATGTGATTGTGCTACCAAATGGACAGTGCATTTCTAGAGGGACTACCCTAACCTTGTCTTGAACTTTGTGATCAGAGCTCTGCGTATCCAACACCAGCTTTCAGGAAAGCATCAAAGTCCAAAGCATGAGAAGATATAATGTGTCTAGGGAGACCAGCAAGAGGGACCCACCACAGAAATCAGCATCTGCCCAGTACTCTTGGCCACCTTAAGAATAAAGCAGAAGTGACTTCAGGGACAATCCTAGCAACTTTGAAGATGCCAGTTATTAAAACCCATCCCCCAGGTAGCTGGCAAAGGCCACCTGCAGGACATGGCATGGCTTCCTCCTACCTTCACTCTGTGTTCTGTATATGACAGTGACATTCTTCACCTTCTTGCTTCTCTTCCTCCATAGCTGTCACCCTCTTGTCACCGTACATGTGGTTCATTACCCGCCTCTTTCACCAGCCAGTCTTGTTTGTATCTCAAGCCCAAGGAATTGCACAATTTGGGCAAATAGTCAACCAGTAGTTTCAGTGAGAACTCTGGATTGAAATAGCCATTGGGCTGAACTGATTAAGCAGCCAGAGCCTGTGCTGATGGGATGGAAGGGATCTCCCAGTTTCTCTTCCACCCATGCCTCAGGTCCTTTGGGATAGTTCTGCCCATGTACAAGTGTCAGGGAAAACACCTCTCAAATATACAAAATACAAAATCCACCAAAAGATGAGGAAAACTGTAACTGAGAACAGTAGGGGACCCCTCCTCCAGCCACTGTACAATTATTTATTGAGTGTGTATCAGACATACTGTGTATCAAGTACTGTGTTAGGCTCCCAAGGTAGGACAGATAAAGTCTCTTCTCCATGGGACTTAAAGTAGCAAAAAGGTAGAAAAAGAGCTATGATTTTTTGAGTTCCCACCCCAAAAGCAGTTTCCACATCTCATATGCTCTTAGAAGGTAAGTATTACCACCCCATTTTATAGAAACAGATCTTGAAACTCAGACTCACTCCAAGATCACTCTTGTCTGTGTGCTCTTTTTGTTTCTCCACACTGCCCTTCTTGTGAAGCCTTTTCCTCTACTTTTCCTTGAAAAATTCCCAGCATTATGTATTTAAAGATAATTCCCTTACCACAAGAGATTAAGGGTGCCCAGAGACCTAGCGAGCAGGAGACCCATTATCAGGGACCTAAGGCAGTTAGGAAGAATCACCACCACTTGAAGCCAACAAGAAAATGGCCTCCTACAAGGAATTTCATGGTTCAGGAAATAGTATTTCAGAGAAAGCTTACCGGCCACCACACCATACTTCGTCCTGCCAGGAAGAAGCCTCCGACGGTCCCACGGTTAGTGGAGAACATAGCCTAGAGAGGAAAGGTCAAAACTTTAATAGACAACTTGAACAGAGGAATCTTGCCAGCCAAAACATCACCCCCCCCATATACTTGCATTTCTTCTACCCACTTCACTTTCTGAAACATTTCCACGTTCCTTACTTCCCTGGAGCTCCAGTCTACTCAGACGAAGGAGGCAGAGATCCTATATTTGACAGACAATTAACACAGACTTGTTGAGCTGCCTGTGTGCCAGGTAGTGCCAGGGAGAGCACAGCTCAGATCTTTAGGGACTCCTGGCAGGGTCCTCCCTTCCACAGGACATCTCTTGGGACCTCTTGTGATTCTTCTGGGAATAGAAAGAGGACCAACAACCCCAAGGAGCAGGGAAGGCAGCTAGGGCTGCAACAGAAACAAGTCCCAAGGACTCAGTTTCCAGCAGTTGGTCAGAGAAAGGCCATTCTGAAGGTCATTCTAACGTCAAAGCAGGTCAACACCTTCCAAGCATGGTTGGAGGGACAGGAACTGGGTTTGGGGCCCAGACATAACACTTCCAAGTTGGTCTCAGAAATGAAGAGCTTAGAGGAAGAATGTCAGAGGAAAGACTAGCTGGGGAGCTGGACAAATCAGGAATGGAACTGGGAATGGATATAAGGTGAGGAGAGGCATACTATATAGGACATTTTTCCTTTCTGGAGTGTTCATACATTCATCTCCACAAGCCCAGACCCTGCATACCCATCCTTCAAGGCCCCTCTAACACTACCTTCCCCACGGGACCTTACCAGGCACTCCCCAACAGCTTCCTCCTCTACAGCCTTCCCCCAACCCAACAAATATAATCTCTCTCTCTCTTATGAACATGTAGCAAACTCCATCTATGCTTCGTTCACAGCCCTTACAACCTTTTTGCTTTGTGTTACAATACTATGGAATTTCTTCCAGCTTTATTGAGGTATATTTGACAAACAAAAGTTGTATGTATTTAAGGTATAC